TTGCAGTCCAAACCGGAAGTTCGTATACAGTTAATCTGGGCCTCCTCCTCTTATGATTTCCACGTCTGGTTTCGACATTCAGCTATCTAACTTCTTTCTCGAGATCATGGAAGGACAGACAGCCAGACGCACAGTGGGAATTTATAGGTACACAGTTTTTTTCAAATTGCAGTCCAATAATTTTTCTATAAACACGATATTTACGAGAAAATACTTGCCATGTAGTTTATACAATCTGCTGCAAAGATATAAACACTTTATCATCACAGAAAAGCAATTATTCTGGCATTTTTACAAGAATTTGTTATTTAAACAAGTCACACCAAGTGTTTCGGACGTTAACGTTAGGAACTGCAACCACATGCCGGGCTATCACAATCTGCCTAACACGAATCACTTTTAAATATTAATTATTATTAATATTAATCAGTATTAATTAGCAGTCGTTGAGCATCCGCTCTTCCGGGAGGAGGTCAACGACTACTTTCGGTCGAATTACTTCGACCCCTTCCGCAATAGTCCCGAATTTCTATCGGACCAGCGGTATGGTGACATTCGAAAAGGAAAATTACATAATACGAGGTTACCAACCTGTATGAAATATGATTTAAGTGGCTTTCGAGGGTGCCGAGTTTAAATATTTGGTCCGTTTCTCGCGAAATTTCATTGGTTGGCAGATTTTCGTTTGATATTCGGCTATTAATGGTACAGTTTCTTAAGTATGTCTATGGACACACTTAGGTAAGATATATTTCCACTTATAATCATCAATTATGTATTTTTCCTCATTAGTGGCGTGCACCTACAATAAATAATATTTCATAACATACGATATCCATTTATAATTAAATATATTCAGTGACGGATTGACCAATAGGCTGAGTAGAATTAAGCCTAGAAACCCGAAAGGGAAAGGGTCAAAGAGTAAAAGACAAAAAACAAAAGAATCAAATTGCTTAATTGTTATAAAGATATATGTTATTTAATGTGAGTTAATGTCGGTTGATTTATTTGTATACGGCAAAACGACACATGGGCGATCTACCGAGGTGGATCTCCATGCGGCCAGCCCGTTGGTGAGGCGCGAATCCGCGACCAATGCATAAGGAATGCCACTTTATTCAAAAGAAGATAGGGGGCAAAGTCAGAGAGAGCCCACCAGTGGCCGATAAAACCACTGAACAACGGTCGCGAATTTGCTCTCGCTAACGGGCTGGCCAAACGAAGATTTCCGGATTTTCTTCACGTTTTTAACACCTAAATAGAAGTCACTTTTTCATAGAAAGTCCTCTCAGGAGGCATCCTTTCTCGGTACATCGCTCGCGAGTCGCGTTGCCCTATACCAGTGTTTCTCAACCTCTAACGAATCGTCGCCCCTTCAACGTAGTATCGCCCCCTTCAATAAAACTGCTACGTAGTATCGCCCGCCCCCTTCACTACAAAATTCCGATGCCGAGGGACAAGGCTAACGCCAAATTCGTACCGCATCGAATAGACTAGTGACTATATAATGTTATTTGTTTACTTATTGTACGATATAACGAATAAAATATCTAATTACACTTAATATAATNACTTACCGATATTTCATTAAAATCAAAATGAATAGCAATATTTTACTTCTGACGCTGGCTAACTCGAGAAGCTAATTTAAATATCTTCCATTACTATTACCTTTCAAAAGAACGATTTTTCTTACTTTTGCCCTATCATTCCGAATGGAGATATCGAGTGCTGATTTAATGTATACAATTACTGTGACGAATCCTGTCAAATGTTTAATACAGATCATAGCAAACTGTTCCAAAACCATAGAAAGAAAATTTAATTCTGCATAAACAATAGTTGAATTCGGGAAGGCGAGATTATCCTGTTCTGTTGGCCACGTAAATGGGGGTAAATTTCAGTTTAGGACGTTTCTATTTGGCCACTTAAGTGGAGTTTGATTTATGTTAAAATGTATGCAGTTTTACAGAGGAATATTACGTAACAGAGGTGGCCGCAAAGCGGGGTTTTACTGTATTTTCAGCTACAAACCTTTATATTTTGCGAAAAAACAAGTAAAGAAACAAATCAAACGATAACATTTAATTCTTAACTTGTGATTGTTTCTTTACTCGTTTCTTCGCAAAATATTTCGAAATTTTCAGGATAGTGTGAATTTTTATCATTTAATTCTTCATAGGATTCTATATTTAAAACTATTTCTAAATTTTCTAATAACGTATTATAGTTTATTGATTCCTTGGAACAATTGCCCTACACAACAAAGAGAACTCAATAAAATTAAAGGATTCAATAATTATACTAAAATTTTTAAAAATTTCAATGTAAAATAAAAGTTCTTATCTCAGCAAAATACAAACTATAAATGATTTTATTTGTAACAGGTCCAAAATATGAATGTATTCTAAAAATAGATGATTTCCTTTTTTTAAGTGAGAGTTACAGTTACACATCAACGTGAAGTGCGCTCACCTATATTTTTGTATAAAAAATCTTTATATGAATAATTTGTACATAATACGCAGCATTATACATATTTTGTTCCCTTAAACCTACTTCATTAAACAGTTTTAAACATATTATAAATGAGTTTGAATGCGATACATTTCGAAATACAGTAAAACTTGCGTAAACCGGAATCACGCGGTATCGAATCTTTTTTCGGGTTTGATGGACTTCCGTTCCGTTTTGAACAGGTCTTTTTTTTTTTTTTTTTAAATTTTATAACCTGTTCAAAACAGGTTAGAAAATCGTTCCGTTCTGAAGAATTATTCCCGTTTAGACAACTTTCCGTCTTGGACAGTTTTACTGTACTATGTCACATCCTCCAGAAGATTTTTCACAGATTCGAAACGAAATTTTAGTACATTCATTTTCTCAAAATTGAATTTAAAACTGTAAATCACGGATTTCGATCAAATATATATACAGTAAAACCTCTGTGAACCGGACTCTCACAGTACCGAATATTTTTTTCGATGTAGCGCGTTTCCGTTTTGAACAGATGTTTTTTAACAAAGAAAATCTCTGCATTTCAAAGAATTCTTCTCGTTTTGGACAGGTTTTACTGTATTTCGCTTCTATACTGTCGATTAAATACACTGCAATTTTGCCAGTTATCCTCAAAAAATTATGGAAATTCCTCTCTCTATTTCTACCAGGCGCTTCCTTTATTTGCATTTTAACATCTTTATAACAATTCATTTTTAGAAAGCGTAAACATTAAATGTCAATTAAATTTAAATGCTCTCTTAATAAATATACCGTACAGAAATATTTCAAAAACCACTCTAATTAGATCTACGCGATATAAAGTGAGATTTAGTACTTTAATTTATACTGTATTACAGTTTATTCGTAGAAGTTCAAACTCATTATATTTAATTCATTACATATATATAAATTACCAATACTAATATTATATATAGGTTATCTGACAAAGAAATAAGTACATAATCTTGAGCAAAGGCATCCGCCGAGGGAAAAAAAGGGGCACTTCCCCAGGATGGAGTAAAAAATTCGACAAATTATAATCGTAAAAGCGATTGAGATACGTCTCTGCAGAATGTAATGCGATTGCACAATTGAAATGGGCGATGACATACAATTTAAAGTAAATATCGTTTCTATTTATTCAAACCTCTCTTGGTTCCAACTCTCGAAACAGATTACGAGCGAGACTTTCGTGTCAAACTTTAGATGCGAGTGAGATTTTGTTCCTCAAATCTAAATTGACGTTTCTTAAATCGATAAACGCGTTCGTACAAAGCGGGATTACAATTCTAACTTAATACTTAACTATCGCAGATGATTACTATATATGTTACTATATATATATACTAAAACTTCCTACAAATCTGTTGAGAGGAATCTAAAAATAGAAAAATCGTCCTATATAAACGAGGAAAATATCGTCAAATTTGCTAAGAACTTGAGTGTAACGAGGATTAGGGACGTGCCAACTGTCTTTTTTTAACGCTTTCGTTTAACTCGCTTCGTATGTCCTCGAATTTTACGGCTCAAATTTCATCCACTTCCAATTAAGATAGAAGGCTAAAACTTTGAAGACATACCTAGTATGTCTTCAAAGTTTGATTTTGAATGTTTATTGTTCTCGATGGCTTATTTGTTCGAAGTTCACATTTATGAGGCCAATACGGTGTATAGAACCGTCTGCAATATAATCGTCGTGCACGTGTTAATAAAAATGTACTTATAATTATTGAAAGATTTTTAATTTTTGGGTTAGCCTCCCCGTTTGGCGGATCCACGGCAGACGTGGGGGCCCCACCCCTCATCCCAAATAAATAACAATAGTAAGCTAAACCTCGGATATTTTTCCACAAGTTTTAAAAAGGAATTTTATATTTGAAATTTTCTAAGACAAAACATTTACTTCAAATCTTTACAAAATTTAAGTTTTTATTAATGGCGTACGTATGATCTGTCCCCGAATAAAAGTTAAGTACAGCATAAAATTTAACATTATTATATTCAACAAAATATTTTTAACGTATCGAATGCAAATTACTGTATTTTGTATTAAATATTTGTTAACAGCAATTAAGTGAATTTTGTATTAAATCCATATAACGCGTGTTATTCCATATCTTCTGAAGGAAAACTTAAAAGGTTATTGCACTCTATCAGGGGTTCCCAACCTTTTTTTTATGTGTTGACCCCTTTTTTACTATCGATCTTCAATATTATGTACTACATATTATATACATGCTACAGTCTCTTACATAATTTTTAAAATGAATTTTCCTATATTTGAGAGCAAAAACTGGGTACAATTTTTAATATTTTTAAACAAATTTTTAGTCCTTTTGGGAAACCCTGGCTTATATAATTAAATTTATTTATCTAACTAAGAACGTTCTTGTTAAGTCTTTAAAATGTAGTTATACTTTAACAATTTATACTTTATTGAGAAAAATTTATTACAATTTTTCATTAAAAACAGTGTTATTTACAATCATTTAAATTTATTACGTTAATATTTCATATTTTAATAAAAATATTTTAATTACTATAATAATAATAAATTTAATTTAATAAATTACTCGACTTAAAGAAAATATATTGAAATTTTCATTACTTTTTATGTGTAAATTGATTATTACAATAACAGAACTTTCTGAGTTCCCTGTGTTGAATGCACGACGATTGGTTACCGTATTTGTTAAGTCGACTGACGTCACCAATTACCTTAAATTCGGTAGACCACGCAGTCTTCTGTAAGAGTGCTTCCAATATGGCTTCGCTCGGTTTCACAGAAATTAAGACACGAATGTTAAATGCGTAGCCTCTTCTATAAGCAGTCGATTTACTTGGCATTAATACCTGAAATAAACGACTTTTTATACTACATTATTATAAAACCTAACCATGATTTAGAAATATGTATCTAGTATAACAAATAACCGTATTGTATACGAGTATTTGATTTGCAGAATGTTCTGCAATACTGCACCTTGCTTCGATGAAAAATCTTCTAGAGGGTGTATTTTCCCCGGATCAAAAAATAAGTTAGGGGTCCTTAGTTTGGTTTATTTTGTTTACGGCTACGCCATACGTAGCAATCTGCCAAGGGGGAGGATTTTCTATGGGAAACTGGCCTCTATTCAGGCGTTAGACACGTGAAGAAAACTCGAAAATCTGTAGACCCGGTTCAGACGTAGAGTTTTGGGCCTCAGACCGAGACTCCGCACTAAGGGGGCCTCACACTTTCAAATTTCTATGAAAATTTGATTAAAAAATTTATTTCTTGCAAATATTTGAGGCCCCACTAATAACTTATCTCGAGGCCCTGCAAAACCTCTAACCGGCCCCGATGATGAACCTCTAATCAGTTGGTGATGAGACGAGTGTATAGTGGTTTTTTCCCCTCGACCACTCTGGTGGGCCATTTCAAAAACAAAATTTAACATTATTTTTTTAAAAAATAAGAAAAAAATATAAATAAAATTTTCGAAATCAATAATATACAATATTTACCTTTCCTTTGGAAATATTTCTTAATGAAAGTTGGGCACACAGCAGTTTAACAGGTTCCAAAATCTGATTCAAATGCTGCACCAATTTATTGGCCGCTTCCAAACACCTCTGATCAGTGGGCGGTATTTTAATTTCCTTTTCACACACGCAGTAATTTTCTGGAATCCCCGCTTTTTCGCAAGTCCTTTTAGTAGGAATCATCATCCTCCAAGGGCTATATCCTCTACTGTTCCAAATATGAGTAGGCGATATTGGTTTATACGTCGACGTCATAATATCCATTAACATAGAATGGACATCAAACCACGTGGTCAGGCGATCCGAATTTCTCTTTAAATACGTTCTCAAATGAGGATGTTGGTCTTCGAGAGTGGACGGAAGAGTAATAGAAAATAAAGGCATTCGTTCTTCTACTCGACCAATCGAAGTAATTGCTGCTTTTCCAAATCTGAAGAGAATTTGGTATTTATAAGAACATGAAAATTTACAAATTATCCTTATTTTTGTATAATTTCTCAGTTATAAAATAGTAAAACTAACGGTAAGATATGTTAGTAAAGAGAGCGGAACCTTCCTAAGACAGCTTGTAATACTCGAAGAGCTATATCCATAATTCTTTAGAATTTTCCGTGCAATTCCAACTTTCACGGGCTTTACTATATTTGGTCAGAAGGAATTTGACTAGAATTTTTTATCATTTGATAAAATTCACTGGCTAAAAACTTCATTTACGAATTAGTTAATGGGAAGGATCCAGGAAAACTGAATAAATTCATTTTTTATGTTTTTTGTTGTTTGTGATTTGTTTTTTGGTACAAGGACTTTCTTACACCAAAGAGCACCAAGGCATGTCAAAAGTATTATATTATGTTAGTCTTTAATTATTTATGGCCGCTATCTATAGAATTGAGTTCACGCTTCGTAGATGAGGACTCGTTGAATTTGGCCATTGTCGTCCAGCCTACCTTCATCTAGAAAGGTTTGGTGCTTTAAATGGTATTCTCTGATCTTGTATCGAGAGAGGGTTAAAAGTGTATGACGGACAGCAAATGGGGTCTGACAATTAGTGGGTACTGGTTGTGATTCTGTGTCAATAGATAACCGTAGTCTTGCGTGTCCCTTCTTAGTCCAGCTATTATAATTTCATTTTTTCGATTGTTTCGTTAACTGGACTTCCGTTTTGTACGGCCACTTCAATAATTGTTTATTATTGATTGAGTTGACTGTCCCATTCTGTTTGCCATTTGTGGAGTGTTTACACGACTATAGAGATCTTTATAGTATGGAGAAACCGGGTTTGTAGGGTTGTGGTTTGCTGTTTGACACGGTTATCTGCTATTTCATTTCCCCGGTTCTAGTATGTCCAGGAATCCAGAAGAATTTAGTCTTTACCCGATTGGTGTAGGTATTGTAGGAAAAAATACATCTGGTTGATAATTGGATGGACAGTTATATAAGATTATGTGCAGAGAACTACACATAATCTTTGGAAATAAGTAATAGCGGCTGTAACTTTGTATATGTTGAAGTGCCGTAGTAATCGCATAGAATTCTGTACAACTGGTGTCTGCAGGCAACCTTGCCTTCCGTGCAGCATCAAGACAGAAAAAAACTGCTCCCACTATTGCTGTTTTAGTAACACCGTCAACCGAGTGCCGGACATCTGGGCGACAAAATAAGAGACGAATAATAGACAAAATGCAAAATTGTTTTCTTTATAAAAATCATCATTCTTTTCTACTGACCGGGTAAATTTAAATATTTTTTTAAGACACGAATTATACAAGTTAAAAGAACGATTTTATAATTATCAAACTTATTTATATATATTATATACTTTATTTACTTATTTATTTTTACAAGTAATTAGAAAAGTCTCGAAGGACAGTTGATATCTACTCTAAAATTAAAAAATATACATAAAAAACAAAGACGACATTTACATAAATTTAAATATATATTACATTATAAATTAAATACAATAAAAATAAAAAAAGTATAAATATTCTTCGAAAGAATTTGTTTTCGAAGAACCTCTTTTCTTTGATGCGCTTTGTTAATCGCTTCCGACGTAATTAAACGATGCTAAACATTTTCTTTTCCTAAGTAGAAAATAACTCCTACCTCGTAAGTCGTAACCATATTTATATATACAGTAGAGCGTCGATTTTCCGAAAGTCAATTATCCGAAACGTCAATCATCCGAAAGAATTCCAGTCGGCAAATTTAAATTTTCGCCAGTGCTGTGGCGCTTCAATCTTTGGCTATGTCTTGGGCTACTCAAATATTTTACGTTTTTGATACTAAATTAACATCTGAAGTATAATTTTTTATTGTTTTTATATTTTTCAATATATTTATTTTGTTTGTACAAAATAAAAAAATAATTTTTAACGATACAATAGTCTTCGTTAGGCTTAACATCGACGAAAATTCGACGCGAAGCGACACGCAACGGAGAAAATTTTCAACATCGGATACGTTAAACTATTTTTTCGTACATAAATCGGTTATCCGAAATATCAGTTATACGAACAACCCCAGTCCCCAATTGATTCGGAAAATCGACGCTCTACTGTATTTTATCAATCCTAAAAATAATAAAATAAATAAAAAATGTCCGCCAAATCGTATGCTCGCTAAGCGTGCAAAAACGTTTAAGTTTCTGTCGCCCACTCGACTATCGTCCAGTTGTCGCGTACCCGCTGTTTTAGCCTCATTCGTAAATACGATACGACTACTAGGATCAGTGCCGTAACTAGCCATTCCCGTGCCCTGCGCCAGAATTTGCATTTGGGCCCCTTAATTAATTAGGCTTGGGAAAATAATAAAACAAATATACGCATTTTGGGCCCCCTTCCGAGCGGGCCCTGCGCGGGTGCACCCGTCGCACTTGCCTAGATACGGCACTGACTAGGATCCACGTTCTAAGAACAGCTGTCGGTATACCTACGTGGTTTGGTATAATGTTTTTTTGGATATTTAGTAAGGGAGAGATCCATTTCTGCTACTGGATGAATTATTTGATTCCTTCCTGTACTGTACGCGATACGGATATTTGCTTCTCGGAGAGCAAAATTTATCTATTATTCAACCTATTGATATTACCCAATTTACATGCAAAATATCAACAATCAACATACACCCCTTTCATCATTCCATATCGATCTTCTATATTTAGTTGTAATTTGAACGACATCTTTAGTTTGTTATTTTATTATATTAAACCAATACATCGTGTTCCCGATGTAACGAGAAAGTCCTCAAACGATAGCATTCTTCTAGAAGTTCATCAACTATTGGATTTTCGATGCATCTCGATTTTATCCGATAATTCTTGATACTTTTTATCTTTATAATATTTGTTTCTTTTTTAATTACTGTATATCATATTTAGTTTATTATCTTTTAAATTTTTTGCCAACAGACGGCGCTAGATGTAAAGCCGGCAAGTGGGAGGTAAGCAGAAATGAAATAAATATTATGACATTATCTAAATTAGGTATTTAATATAATAAAATAAATGATCTAAATGTAACTGCCGAGTTTTGTAACAATGGTCGAACGAACGAACGAACAAACAAACATCCCATTTTATATGACACTTGTGGATATGTAGTGTCATAATTGTACTGTACATATAATCATTTATACGAAAATTTTTGTATATTGTTTTTATGATTTTGCAAGGATTTAACTTAAAACATAGATTCGTAAGTTAAAATATATTTACGTTACGTAAAACCTTAAGGATAAGGATCTGACATAAAATTATTACAGAAAATACGAGATCTCGTTTACACTAGAATACAGTGGTACCTCAGGTTACGAACGCCCCAGGATACAAAATTTTCAGGATACGACATGAAATTCGAACATATTTTTGCTCCACGATACGAACAAAAACTCACCATACGACGTTACATTAGTTCGCATTTTTTATTTGTTTTTCTTAATACAGTTATTTTTTTAAATGTATTACTTGGCTTTAATTTGAGTATGTTTTTCGCGTTAGAACGAATTATTTGGTTTTACATGTAATCGTATGGGAAAAGATGATCCACCTTACGACATTTTCATGATACGATCTGAGTTTCGGAACGGATTAATTTCGTATCCTGAG